CCCCCCCCCCACACACACACACACTTGGAGAGAACTAAGAAGATGCAGAGCTAACAGTATCTTTTGGTGTGTGGCTTTAGCCAGCAGCAGCAGAGCTAGACTGAGAGAATCAGACAACTTCCTGCCCTCTTCCTCCCAGGCTACATGACTGGCTAGAGCATTGCTAATTTCCAGATAGCACCATTTTCAGATGTCAGTACTTTGGAATGTCGACACTGTTTCCATTATTTAGTCCCATGTTTTGTTCCTGTCACCCACTCCCACCACTGAATAGGTAAGTTGACTGTAGATGAATAATATACTAAAGCCACCATTAAAGTAAACATTATAAGACTTTAAATATGCATGCCTTTGACCTAGCATTCTCACTTCTAGGAATTTATCCTAAGGAAAATAAGTATATGGATAAAGAAGTTAGCATGAGATTGTTCATTGCATCATTTATTTAGAAAAGCAATGAAACAAACTAAATAGCTAACCACTCTTGGTTTCCTGATCAATAAATAATGGTATAACCTTACAACAGTTTCCCATACTGCTTTTAATATTAGAGTATAGGCTGGGTGCAGTGGTTCATGCCTATAATCCCAGCACTTTGGGAGACCAAAGTGGAAGGATTGTTTGAGACCAGGAGTTCAAGACCAGCCTGGGCAACATAATGAGATCCTATTTTTACAAAAATAAAAAAGTTAGCTGGGTATGGTGGCACATGCCTGTAATCTCAGCTACTCAGGAGGCTGAGGTGAGAGGATTGCTTGAGCCAGGCATTCCAGGGTGCAGTGAGCTATCATGGTGTCCAGCTTGGGTGACAGAACAAAACCTTATTTGAAAAAACAAATTAGGTTATAAATGAATATTTGTTGACCTAGAAAAACATTCACAACAGATTAGGTGAAAGAAGCAAATTACAAATAGTATGTATTGTATGACCCTTTATAAGTATGAATAAAAATAAAATACATAGTTTAAGGAGACAGACCAAATGTTAGTCACTAGGAGGAGGGATTCTAAGACATTTTAATTTTTTTTCTGCTTATCTGCATTTTTAAAAGTTTTTCCATAATAAGCATGTCTGAGTTTTGTAATAAGAACAAATTTCCTTGCTTCCCTCCCAGGGGTGGCTTCTGCTGGGAGATCAGGCGTTCCTGGCTCCCAGGCATCATGGGAAAAGCCATTGACCCTTGCAAGGTGTTAAGCTGCTCACTAAGAATTCCCTGCCCCGGCTTGACTCCCCATCCTGACTGGTCTTATGGGCGAGACCTCAGTGATCCAACACCTTGGTATCCAAATGAGCAGTTGCTGCATCACCTGTGAGTGGGTTAGCCTCTGCCCTCCCTTGAGGGCAGACACTGTTTACCACTGTTGGCACATGGTAAGTCTAACCTTACTAAAACTGTAGGGCCTTTCTGCCTCCCAGGAGCACCCTCCTCTGTAGGAGGGTAACAGCTATGATGCTCCATTGCTTAGGGCAGTCCCTACTACACATAAGCAGGTGTAATTCTGAAGGTTGGAAGAAAAAAAAAAAAAGGCTGTCACCATGGCAACCCAGGCTTGCTCAGCCTCTTCATTCCTGAGATCAGTCCAAATCCCAGGGAAAGAAGGTGGGGTATGGAGTCAGAAAAATCACTGCCTGGCTGCCTGACCTCAGGCAAGACACTTACCTTTTCTCTGTGTGAGTTTCTGCATCTGTAAAATGGTGCTGAAGCTTCTTATCTTACCTCCAGGACTGGGGTGAATAATCTGTAAACTGTAAAATACAAAAGAAGTAGGGCATCCTTAGTTTTGGCTTGTCCCCAAATTGCCATGTGACTTTGGGCAAATCACTTAACCGCTCTGTGTCTCAGCTGCTCTGTTTACAAATAGGCGAGTAAGGCACACTGATTACTTCCCAGATGTATTGCAAGGTGCCTGTGAGAATCCCAGAATCTCAAAACTGGAAGGAATCTTAGCCCTACCACTCATGCAGGAATCTTTTTGATAAACTCTCTGACAGAGGTACTTATCCAGCCTCTGCCTGGTTACCTCCCATGGCGGAAAACTCATGACCACACAGCTTCCCTTGTAGCCATTGCTACATGACACTAACTGTAAGAAAGTTCTTCACTATAGCGTATTACAGCATGTTTTACAAATAAATGTTTGTTTTAAAAAGTTAGCAATCCTTTCCAGAGCTATCTTCACTCCTGATTTTCCCAAAGGCTTGCACAGGGTAGAGATGAGCAGTGGTCAGCAAAAAGTAGGTGTGGGCTCAGCTCCAGAAGAAGCTTTTGGCTTAGCGTAGTAGAAGGAGCCCAGGCTCTGGGGTCACACAACCTAGGTTGAAATGCTAACTTTATCCACTTACTAACTGGCTGACGCTGACCCTGGGAAAGTTATATTACCTAGCTGAGCCTCAGTTTCCTGATCAGTAAAAGGAGGATAGAAATACCTATCTCCCAGTACTGTTGTGGGAATTAAGCAAGTTATCACTTCTTATTAAGCTGACAACACAGACTTCCCTGGTGGGATTCTGGGGACTTGGGGTGGGGAACATCACACCCTCTTCTGCCACCCTGAATAGCACATCTGCCCTCTGAGCACATGGCACAGGCGAGCCTTACATACTCCATATCTCAGGGTCATCTCCCTCTCAGACCTGGACCAGGGCCATAAAGGAAAGGTGACGCAATGGTTTCAAGACAAAGTTCACCTCCTCCACGTGATTCACCGGCCCAAGGCCAGCACCCCCTCCCTGCCCACAGACTCAATGGGCACAAAGCAAGTATCCCAGGGCATCACTTGGGAACAGCTTCCAACTGCACCAGTGTTTTCATAGGAATCTCATACAGGATCCCAGAACTGTGGTCTGGCAGTGGACTTCCAGGCAGAGTGACAAGAAGTTGTGGAAAGCTATTTGGGGTTGGGGTAAAGTGTTCCTTTAGCTGTTGATAAGAAGGTGTCTGTCACGTAGCGACTCCTGGACAAAGGTCAGGACGCCTGGGTCCAGCTCCACCATCGCCTAGCTCTGGGCTCTCTGGAGCCAGCGACTTCCTTCCTCAGTGTCTTGCTTTCCTCATGTGCGGGACAGCAGGCCGATTCCTGGGGCTTTCCCAGCTCCCGAATTCTAGGTTTCCCCATTTGTTGGATGAGTTGGAGAAACCACCCTAGACCTCCCTTGGCCCCTGGCCACTGGGTGGCGCCGACCACCCCCTCTTCTCTGCTTCCTTCGCAGATGAGTACCTCAGAGTCCTCAATGTGGGTGTGGCTGAGGTGAAGAAATCCTTCCTGGGGCCCTTGTCCCCGTCCTGCAAGATGGTGCAGATGATGAGGCAGTTTCTGTACCGGGTCCTGCCCGAGGACTCCTACAAGGTCACCACGGGAAAGCTCCATGTGAGCCTCACCCGCTTCACGGACGGGGAGAGTGTGGTGGTTTCAGAGTTCACGTCCAAGGAGGAGCTCATTGAGGCAAGGGGGCTGGGAGGGAGGGCGGGCCAAAGAGGGGGCGTGGGAGGGCTGCTCCTGCTCTCTCTCCACCACCCAGCCCGATGCCTCACCCATCTGCCTCACTTCCCTAGTCCTGCCCTTGCTTCATGCCCCCAGTGTCTCCCTGTGCAAGGTGCAGTGTTAGATGAGATGGACACAGAAGCCCAGGACAAACCAGGCTTGACCACCACCCTCAATGCTTCGGCCTTCACGTCCGTCCTGTCCGGCCCTCTGTGCTAAGCCTGAAGCTTCCCAGAGGCCCAGGTGTGACCTGCAGAGGGCCCGGGGCTCTTTCAGGGCCTTCCAGGCTGGGCTGCCCTGCATCCTCTCTGAATTACTCACAGTTTGTGAGAACAGTCAGGGGAGACGGGCCCCCATGCCCCCTTTCTGCCCCCTCACTTCCAGTGGCTCTTGATAAGGGATTGAATTGCTACCAAATCAGTTATCACTTAGAAAAGTGCATGCTAGGCCGGGCGCGGTGGCTCAAGCCTATAATCCCAGCACTTTGGGAGGCCGAGACGGGCGGATCACGAGGTCAGGAGATCGAGACCATCCTGGCTAACCCGGTGAAACCCCGTCTCTACTAAAAAAATACAAAAAACTAGCCGGGCGAGGTGGCGGGCGCCTATAGTCCCAGCTACTCGGGAGGCTGAGGCAGGAGAATGGCGTGAACCCGGGAGGCGGAGCTTGCAGTGAGCTGAGATCCGGCCACTGCACTCCAGCCTGGGTGACAGAGCGAGACTCCGTCTCAAAAAAAAAAAAAAAAGAAAAAAAAAGAAAAGTGCATGCTAATCCTGAGTGCACTGCCCTAAGCTCATTAATATGAACTTCAGTTATGAACAATGATTGCTGGAGAGGGCTGCAGATAGGTCCCATTGTCTTTCGGGACAAAGGGGTCAAGCTGCATGGCCTCCACCCCACATCTCCACTCTCCTTCCTTCCCCACATACAGGGCCTTTGCCTCCTCATCTGCATCCCATACTGGCCTGGCAGTAATCCTGGGGATGAGGGATTAATAGGCAGTGTGCACGGACACCTCCTCCACTCCTCATGGCCCCCTGGGTTTATCAGCAGCCGGCTCTTCCAGATCTGCCTCCTCACGCCCACCCCCGTTCCGACTTCATCGCCCACTGCTGCAGTTTTCTCTCCCCGGCCCTCTCCCCCACCTTCCATTCCTACCATGCCAACCCTAGCAAACCACACACAAGCCAGACCTCTGGGCCTTCGTACCTGCCGCTCCCTCTGCCCGGGATCCCCTCCCTCCTTCCTACGCTGCTTCGCCTGCTGCTGAAACCCAGTCTCTCCCGCCAGGGCACTTGCCTTCATCCCCTCCCACCCTGCCTGCACCCCTCTTGTGGAGCCACAGTGCCCATGCTCACCCCCACCAAGCCCCTGTCACCTCACTGCACCGTCACCCACTTGCTCACTCCCCCCTGTAGGGCACTCCCAAGGGTGGGCCTCTCAGCCTCCTTTGCTGACACACATTAGTGGTTGTTGAATCCCACTGGATTCATGAAAGTTCAGCATCAGAAGGAACCCTGAAGCTATTGAGGACCCCCTCCCACTTTAATGCTGGGATGTCAGGGCCAGACGGACCAAGTAGGTTACCAAGGACCCCATTAGTGAGGACCAGGCCAGGAATTGAACTCGGAGCTTTGCTTCCCAATGCGGCACCTTCACTTAGGATTTAAGGAGGTCCGGCCTGGTGGTGGATGGCCCAGCAGCTGACAGACGAGCCGTCCCCACCCCGCCCCCCGGGCCTCCGGCATCTCAGCCCTGTTCTCTCCATACAGGCCCTATACTGCAGCTGCTTCGTCCCCGTGTACTGCGGCCTCATCCCCCCGACTTACCGCGGTGTGGTGAGTGCTCCATCATGGTGAGGGGTGAACCGGGATCCAGGGGACCTCGGGTCCCTGTGACTCACACCTGGGGGAGCAGGAGGGTGGTCTCAGAATGCAGTGGGAGGACCTAGAGTTGGAGAATTTCTCGTGTTGTTACTCAGAATTCCCAATGTAGATGGCTTTCTGGGTCTTTAAGATGAACTTCTCCAGCTGGGGTGGGCTCCTCTCTGGATCCGCCTACCCACTGCCGAGCCCGGCAAATCAAGGCTCCATAGGCTTGGCAGGCTTTCCCAGACTTCTCGGAACAGAGGAGGTGGACCCTGAAGCACTGGGACCTGGAACCTCAAATGATGAGGATGTTTTCTGAGGCCCTTTAGGCCAGGGCCTTACAGACTTTAATGTGCCCGTGAATCACTCGGGGTCTCGTAAAACTACACAAGTTCTGATCCAGGCGATCTGGGGCAGGGCCTGAGGATCCGCCCCTAACCAGCCTCAGGTGCTGCCCATGCTGCTGGTGGGTGGGCCACACTCTGAGTAGTGATGGTCTAGCTCATGCCCCTTCCTCATTTTATATGCAGAGAAAGTTAGGGCCAGAGACTAGGATTCAGGTAGTAGATGGAGCCCGTATTGCACGTCAGCCAGCCTGAGAGTTAGAGCCTCAGTATTTGTCATCCTTCATTCATAGGTGAGAAAACAGAAGCCCCAGAAAGGACGGGGCTCGTGGGTGAACAGGTGGTGGGGCTGTGGCAGAGGGGCACGTCTCCTGCTTTACCCAGAGTATGGGTCCCCTGCACACAGAGCCCTGGGAGCCCCAGTCTCAGCGCCACTAAGATAGTGGAGGGAGGATCAGTGCAGGACAGAGCACCAGGCTGGGAGTCCAGAGGCCAGTGTGGACTCACCAAGTGACCAGGGGCACACCACACACCCACCAGGACCTCCATCTCCAGGCTTATCCCCAAGGGTCTTCTGGACCTTCCTTGATGGGCCCTTGAAGCTGGTACCATGTCCTATGGGCCATTTCGAGGTACTCCGAGTGGGGCTGAGAACTCTGGCCCCAGGTGAGCATTTCTCACTCTGTCCCACACAGAGGTACATTGATGGGGGCTTCACAGGCATGCAGCCCTGCGCCTTCTGGACCGACGCCATCACCATCTCCACCTTCAGTGGGCAGCAGGACATCTGTCCCCGGGACTGCCCCGCCATCTTCCACGACTTTCGCATGTTCAACTGCTCCTTCCAGTTCTCCCTGGAGAACATCGCCAGGATGACCCACGCATTGTTCCCCCCGGACCTGGTGGTGAGAGGCAGGAGGGGTCTGGGGAGTAGGGGAAGGTACCAGGGACTAGGGGTGGGGTTAGAGAGCCACTGGGGCCCGCTCAAGTTCCATCTGAGTCTCCTCCCCTCAAATGATCCCTTAAACTTCCTCCTAGACCTGCCTACTGGCCTTGCTTCTAACTAGCTATGTGACCTTGAACAAGTGCCTTAAGCTCTTTCGGCTTCAATATTCTCCCCTGTAAAGCGAGATGATGTCAGAAGTGCTGATAGAAATATTAACTGAACCCTTCCACTCAGACAGTTCATGTACCAAAGCAAGGGTCGGCAAACTGCAGCCCACGGGCCATATCCAGCCTATGGCTTGTTTTTGTACAGCCTGTGAACTAAGAAAGGGGTTTCCATTTTTAGAGAGTTATGGGGGAAAAAAAGAAGAAAAAGAAAAAGAACATTAGGCAGAGACTGCATGTGGCCAGCAAAGCCCAAAATAAGTATTTACTATCTGGCCCTTTACAGAAAAGGCTTTGTGGGCAATACCTCATGTAATCCTCTAGCATCCTCTGTGACCAATATTATTGCTGTCCCCATTTTGTAGATGAAGAAATTGAGGCTGTGAGAGGTGAGAGCAACACAGCCAATAAGGGGCAGCCCAGAGACCTGAACTCAGGCTCCAAACTTTGCTCTTCATATGGCCCCAATGCACCTCATCTGGTTCTGCCATGAGCACCCAACACTTTCCCGCCCAGGGGAGGCTGAGGATCTACCTTGAATAGTGTCACTCATGAACGCAGCATCACTGGGGCGTGTGACCAGGAATTGCTCCCCAATTCTTCTTAGTATATAGTGAGGGATGGGACACTGGATGGGTACGTTTTGAAAAGTCCATCAAATAAAGTTCAAGAGCAATGGGAGTAGCAGCCCTGGGTCGGGGGAACTGTGGCTTCCTTCATCACCACAGCCTTGGTTATTCTCCTGGTGCCCCGCCCCCAGATCCTGCACGATTACTACTACCGAGGGTACGAGGATGCAGTTTTGTACTTGAGGCGACTGAGTAAGTACCGGTGGGGCCCCAGGCAAGGGCAGTGTTGGAGGGTAGCGACAGTTCAAACAGTAGAAGGGCTGAGTGGAGGGGTATTCCCCCCAAATTTGTGACCTGGAGATGCCCTTCACCTGGGAGAGCTGGAAATGGGGGTGGGGATCTAACAGGCTGCATCACCCAGCCCAGACCGCTGGGTCTAGAAAATAGGATCTCCATGTAAAGAGGGCTTTGGGGTTAACTAAGGGCACAGTGTCTAGGACAGTTGTACATGTATGTTTATGAATGTAAAAACTCTATTTAGGAAATCCAGAGTTCAGATCTCCCTGGAGAATTCCATTTTCATGTCATTTCATTCTCTTCCACTTTATTCTCTTTCCAGTAAAATTGCATTATTAAGGTAGAACTAGATGTCACTAGTTTATATTTGCGTAAGACTCTGAGTGACCAGCAAATCACAGAGAAGAGCCTTTGCCCTGTGTAGGTTTGGAATGGTGGTCCCTCCACCTATATATTCTCTGTGCTTTATCAGGGTGGAAGAAACAATTCCAATGACATGTCTTTTATGTGCTAACTCCATGGCAAACATCTTTGTTACAAGAAATGAACAAGACTGGATGTGGTGTCTCATGCCTGTAATCTCAGCACTTTAGGAAGCCAAGGCAGGAGGATCACTTGAGCCCAGGAATTTGAGACCAGCCTGGGCAATTGTGAGACTCCCATCTCTACAAGAAATTAAACAGTTAACTGGGCATGGTGGCACATGCTTATAGCCCAAGCTACTTGAGGTCAAGGCGGCAGCGAGCCATGACTGCACCACTGCACTCCACTCTGGGCGACAGAGTGAGACCCTGTCTTTTTTTTTTTTTTTGAGAAGGAGTCTCGCTCTGTCGCCCAGGCTGGAGTGCAGTGGCCAGATCTCAGCTCACCACAAGCTCCGCCTCCTGGGTTTATGCCATTCTCCTGCCTCAGCCTCCCGAGTAGCTAGGACCCCGCCACCACACCCGGCTAGTTTTTTGTATTTTTGTAGTAGAGATGGGGTTTCACCGTGTTATCCAGGATGGTCTCGATCTCCTGACCTCATGATCCACCCTTCTGGGCTTCCCAAAGTGCTGGAATTATAGGCAAGACCCTGTCTTTAAAAAAAGAAAGAAATCAGCAAAAGCTTTGCCATATTTAGAATCAATTATTTTCAGAAAAAGGGATCACTAGATCAAAGGGTTTACCTAATGTTACATCAGAAGCATTTTCCTTGTTGCCACACGTCTTTGTGACTGTCTTTTTTGGCAGTTGTATAATATTCCATCATAGCTGTACAGAAAAATTTGCTTGATCATTCCTTTGAGTTTCCAAATGTTTGTGATTATGAGTAATTCTGTGGTAAACTTTTTGTGTATGTAGCTTTAAAAAATACTCTGTGGGTGAGATTAAGGGGTTGGATGAGATTTTCTTCCTAGGAGGTGTTCACTTATTTTTCCCTTCTTCAAAATTCCTTCCTGCTTCCCAAACTCCCCTTATCCTGTCTCTGCTTTCTCCTGGGTCCTTTCTCCCAACAAGGGGGGTGGACAGGCTGGACAGATAGGAGAGCAGGATGGAGAAAACCTGGGCTCTAGAGGCAAGTAGCTCAAGGCCCCCACCTCACCCATAGCTGTGTGACCTCTGGATAATCGCTTCCCCTCTCTAAGGCTTGGTTTCCTAATCTATGAAAAAGGGGGTTTAGATCCTAGCTCCTGACACCTACTAACTGTGTGATCTTGAGCAGGTAATTAATCTCCTGGGGCCTCAGTTTCCTCATCTGTAAAAGGGGCCTAATCATGGAACCTTATGGTTTTATTTCGAAGATTAAAGGAGCGAAGCCACAAGACCTTAGCACAATGCTCAAATAAATGGTAGCTCTCATGAGACGTGCTGAGTCCTAGCCACAGTCAGTCCAGCCTACTGCTGGGTGAAACCTGATGGTGGCACATCAGGAATCCGCCCCCAAAATTGAGCCAGTATATGGATGGGGCAGGTTTCTTCAGTGGCCCTGGAATCACTCCAAGTAGGAACAGATACAACTCCTAAGGGAGAAGTGGTCTCGTGCTGACTACCAACTATTTTTGCTTCCTCTTCCAATTTGCCAGTGTACAGCACGGCTTTTTCAGCGCAGATTTCACCTCCACCACCTCAGTCCTCTTGGATTTGGTGGGAGTGGATTTTTCTCCCTGCATCAGATGTGAACAGGAACTACTGACACATACTGAGAAATTGCAGTTGGTCTCCAGAGCCACACCCTTATCCCTACCTGCCATCTGGGAACAGAAAATGGGAGTCCGCCTGGCCTCCCTCAGGCTGCTTTCTGGGTGGGGGGTCACCTCCAGTAGGAAACTATACCCCAAAAGGTGTCACCCTCCATTTCTCAGCTCACATTCTCACAACCTCTTTCTCCTCCCTCCCAAGGGAGGAGAATTAATTATTCCTGCTGCCAGGCAAGCCACTCTCTCTACACTCGGCCCATCCTGGCAGCGGCCTCCTGCCAAAGGGAAGGGCAGTGCACGCTGGCGTGCTTGAAAATCCGCATTCCCCACACAGATGTATGAACGTGGGTGCTGAGTGAGGTTGGAGCTCAGAGGATGCCATGTCTAAAATATCCATCCGGCATTCAGGCATGCCTGGCCAAACCTCTTTTCCGCCTTCCTCCCCGACTCCCTTCTTCCCTCTCACAGTTTGGTAAGTGTCTCCCTCTCTGTACACACACACACACACACACACACACACCCCTGTGAAACCATCACCACAATTAAGATAGTGAATAATTCGTCATCCCCAAAATTTCCTCATGCCCTTTCATGATCCCTCCCACCTTCCCTCACCCCCTGCCTTTCCCAAGCAACCCCGATCTGCTTTCTGCCATCACAGATTAATTCACTACAATGTGAACTCTTTTTTTAAAATCTGAATTATTTCACTCTGCATAATTATTTTGAGATTCATCCATGTTGTTGAATATATAAATAGTTTGTTCCTTTTTGCGTTTCGTGCCACTGTATGAATGTACCACAGCTCACCTACTAAAAGAGTTGAATATACCACTGTATGCATATGCCACAGCCCATTTACCCATTCCCCTGTTGATGGACATTTAGGTCATTTCCAGATTTGGGCTATTATGGATAAAGCTGCTGTGAACACTCATACATGAGTCTTGGTGTGGACATATGCTTTCATTTCTCTTGGGTAAATACCTAGAAATGGAATGACGGGATTGCGTGGTACATGCATGTTTAACATACATCCACAAATATTTTAATTGTGGTAAAAAAACACATAACAAATTTTAAGCACGTAGTTCAGTTGTGTTAACTATGTTCATATTGTTGTGCAGCAGATCTCTAGAATGTTTTCATCTTGCAAAACTGAACCTTTACACACATTGATCAACAACTCCCCCTTTTGTCTTCCTCCAGCCCCCTGCAACCGCCATTCCACTTTCTATGCCGATGATTTTGACTACACTAGGTACCTCATATAAATGGAATCATGCAGTATTTGTCTTTTTGTGACTGGCTTATTTCACCTAACATAATGGCCTCAAGGTTCATCCTTGTTGCAGCTGTAGCATGTGACAGGATTTTCTTCCTTTTTTGAGACGGAGTCTCGCTCTGTTGCCCAGGCAGTGGCACGATCTCAGCTCATTGCAACCTATGCCTCCTGGGTTCAAGCGATTCTCCAGCCTCAGCTTCCTAAGTACCTGAGACTACAGGTACATGCCACCACGCCCAGCTAATTTTTGTGTTTTTAGTAGAGATGGGGTTTCACCATTTGGCCAGGATGGTCTCGATCTCCTGACCTCATGATCCGCCCGCCTTGGTCTCCCAAAGTGCTGTGATTACAAACGTGAGCCGCCGCGCCCGGCCGATTTTCTTCCTTTTTAAAGCTAAATATATTCCACGTTTTCTTTGTCCATCCATCTGACAAGGGACACTGGGGTTGCTTCCATCTTTCGGCTATTGTGGATAATGCTGCAGTGCCCATGGATGTATACATGTCTCTTCCAGATGCTATTTCAATTCTTTTGGATATATAACCAGAATACATGTTTGACTTTTTAATAAACTGCCAAATGGTTTCCCAAAGCAGTTGTACCATGTTTCATTCCTACCAGCAGTGGATGAGCATTCCCATTCCTCCAAAACTTTTGGTCTTTTTTTTTTTTTTTTTT